TATTTCTGCAAGTTTGTGCGAGAAACATAGGAGCGTCGAGAAGTTAAGGTTAAATTATATTATATAAGGCAAATTTCATGAATATTTGACAAATTTAAAATGTGAACCTTCGTCATACACCTTGTAATAGATATGTGGGTAACATATGGTTGAATCATATATATTATTATCCAAACGGTTTTTATGCAGAGTAATTCACTAAACAACACACACTACTTTTTTTTAATAATTTAATTATTCAAAATATAATTTTCGGAATTTTTAAATGTACGAGTATTTACAGACCATATTTTCAAATTTTTGAAATATTTTGTTGTCTACTCAAGACATATCTTGTAGTAAAGATACGGACTTTTATTTTACAAATGAAAACTTTGATTTTCTTCTATAAATTATTTAGCAAATTATTTTTCTGAAAATGTAGACGTATCAAAATCAAAATTCTAACGAGTAATTTTTGAGTTATCTAACTTTGTATGCTTAGAATAAATGGTGGCTATGATAATGTGTAAGTTTTTGATATTATTTAATCTTTCAACATAAAACATAATAATTTGTAAAAATTATTCATGAATAATAAATACTAAATCCAATATTAAATTTGTTTTATATTTTTGTATGTATGACAATTTTAAAGGACTATTATCCTTTGTATAAATATTATAATAAATAAGAAACTACTCGTTTGAATTTTAAATTATATAGGTACATAAAAATTTTCAAAAAAATTATTTAATAAATAATTTGTAGTAAAAAAGTTTGTAATTTTAAAAATAGAGATTTGTCACATAATTCTCTTTAATTATTATAAAATATCTCGAGAATTTGAAAATATCGTCTTTGAGTATATTTTAAAATTCCATGGTTTTCCATTTTATTAAATTTATTATTAAATGAAAAAAATGGGATTGAGAATGTTTGTTGAATCATCCATTTATAGAATAGCATATATTATTGCGAAAACGGGAAAACGGATTTTAAACGGTTTGTGTCATTTGTTATTATAATTTAATAACGATTAAAACGACATATGAAGTACGAATCGATCGGGCGCGTACTATTAAAAAGTTATCGTTTTCCCGAAAGCCCTCGGTTAAAAAAATATAAATGTTTTTCAAATAATGATTTTTGGATAACGTATGTACCGGGAAATATATTGTATAACTTAAAGTAATATTCAGTTTGACTTTTCCTGTGATGTCTTTGGATCTCGGCGTTAAAAACGGCTTTTGAGTCAAATTGCACTGTATTACACCTATATCATCATTATCATCATCATCATCATCATCATTGCATTACTGTGTATATGTCGGTGAACAACATTTGGTAATCGGGTAATTGATTTTTAGCCGTAGATGTTTCGTACGCCAAGCTTTATGTATCCGGAGGGGGTGGGTGGTACTTGCTGTATAAAGTCGCGACCGTAAATCGAATTCTTTCGGTTCATTAAATTTTAACGTATATTACCTATTATTATTATATGTCGTGAGCGTCGAGTGTATAATATATAAACTATACTGCATGTAGTGGGTAATGGATATATATGTACAGAGTGATTATTGATTTTATCACAAACCGGGCCTCACCTTGACGGGTAAATTTTTAGCACTTTTATATTTTTACAACCCCACAGTGTTTTCTTTATTTATTATTTCATAACTTAAACACGTTTACACTTAAACGTTGAAAAACAAATAAAAGAATTCGCACAGCGCCTGGTCCACGACAAAAATAAAACAGTCACCTTGTATATATGATATACATTTATGAGTTTTGAACGGCCTAGTATTATATATATATGTATCTAAAATATCATCTCATATTATAGTAATAGTAGTAATAGTAGTCATATGATATAGTTTGTGGTTCAGTGGCGGTTCATGAGGTTCATATAAGATGGTGCACAAATAATTTTATAATATATTTATGTGTAAGAGAAAAATGATAACTTTACTATAGCTACATACGAGTATCTAAAATGATGAACTAGAGTAGTAAATGACCACTGATAAAGTATGTACGGTTAAATGCTATAACGCATTATCGTTTAGACGGTTGGCGGTGACAGCGCGACACGATAAAAATATGCCCGATGGTAGCATGTTTTACTAGCAGACGCGTCGACACATGTAACTAGTACTTTTATATCCATTCGAAGCATTTGTTTAATTAATTAATCGTTAATAGATACACTCGTCAACACGAAAAGATGCGAAAACTTTTTTTTTTTTTTTTAATAGTCAATTTTTATATTATGTGCATAAAAATCAATTTTAGTGAATTAACTGTAGAAATTTAATAATATTTTATGACATTTTTGGTATAGATTGCCCATGTGCTCCTGTACACAATATTATTACTCGCCACTGATCTACGTATAAAATATACAGTATTGAATATTGAACTCCGGTCAGACGTGTGCGGCGTGTCAGATTTTACGAATTAAACTTGCGTGTTTTAAATTGTGGTATCGTCGGGCAACGTTATTAACAATAAAGCTAACCGTTGCAATGATTTTGAATATCGATGTTATTTTATTTATACGTCGAGTAGTATAAAATAGAAATCTGTCGTTTGTACACGATTTTTTTTTTTTATTATTATTTATAATGGCACACACTCAAAGAGTTTGCAGGTAGATAGATAAGTCGACTTGAACTCGAACGCGGTTAAAACAGCAAAATCTCTACCTCGTTTGAGTAGATTTGGATTATTGTGCGGTAATATCAAAATGATTTAAAATTTATGTACGCATTGAATGTTTTTTTACGTGTTCGTTTGTGATTTTCTCCGTATCTAAATCGATTTATTGGTCGGTTTAGAACGTTATACCTGCGTATTGCTATAATATTTTTTCGATTTTTGTACGCATTTTTTCGTCGTTGAATGTTTTTTATTAATATTTTTTCCCTGTCATTTTCGATAAAGTTAATTGCCGATAACCTTTATCGATTTTAAGTTTTAGTCGTTTTTAGTACATTGAACTTTGTCGTCGTGTTTAGAAGTACTAAACTTTTTTGATAAATAAAATGAAAATAAGTTTTTCTTTATAGTTACGACGATGGCGCTGGTCCATGCATTATTAAATGATTTTCATCATCTGCTAACGAAAAAGAAAAATTAGTGATATTTTTTGAAGAATTTTTTTTTTGTTGCAAAAATCGTTATTCTAATCTACTACCCTACCGAATACAATATCGCTTATACGTTTATCACATTGAATATTGACGGTAATTTAACGAAGGTAAGATTGTAGTTGTATTATGTGATATATTTACGTGAAAGTGTATCTATGTCAAACCGATTAACGGTTAGTGATAAACCGAGAAAATAAAACCACTCCGTGGGTGGTTTTCGAGGCTTTTTTTATCTTTAAAAGTTACTCCAAACGCATTCAATCTCATTACCACACACCAACGACGGTGAGTATGTTTTATAATTTCGTTGGACATTTTTTAATAATAATAAAAATATGACGGTTGCGGTATCACACTGTGTGTGCGCGCGGACGATGTGTAAGGTTGAAATCACGCGGGTACGATAAAAGGAATATTTCCTTTGTTTTGTTGTTTGACGGTAATAAAAAATGAAGTATGAAAACTATGAAAAATTGTTTGACCTCCGATCTGACAGGATATAGTGTGTTTGTGTACGTATGTATACGTGACGTGATGTGTTTTGTGTATATTATATACACAGAGAAGGAGAATTGGTTATGTTTATATTTTCGTCCCGAATCAAACGGATGAAGAAGAAACAATGAATTATTACTTGTGCATATAGACTTTTTTTTTTATACAACTAGGAACTTATAAGTATTCGAACATCCGATCATCGGTACTCGGACCCTTACCACACCAACACAAAAAAATACATTTAGTAAAATCGAATAATAATAATAATATTCATTGAACAGTTTATAAACGGCACGTCTCGCGACGATTTCATTTCATAGATTGGTATGACATATAATTGATATCGCACGACGAATAAAATAGTTTATAAGCTAACGATATCTGAAATTTTAGTGACCAGTGAATACATGATGATCGTCTAAAATATGGTCAATTCCAAATGAGCAAGCTGTGCGCTTCATGATACAGTATCGTTCGTCTGTTAAGCACGTGATCACGCTGAAACGCGAAGACTTCTCCTACCGACGCTTGATCTCCGGTCGAGGATTTGTGTGTTGTTTATTGAGTAATCCGTTTAAGTAAGACACTTATTATTTAAAAAGTTAAAAAAAAAATAATTACAATTTTGAAAATATTTTGTTTTTACATAATTTTAAGTCGTTAAAAATAATATTTTTTTAATACTTATATATTTTTATTGTAATCGTTTTTTATTTTTTTTTTCACTCTCTTAATGATGCTACATGCATTTTTTATTTCTTATTCCAAAGCAGAGTATATTTTTTATTACTTCGAAGTACAAAAATTGGATTTTGGACGAATGGTTTATGAGTTAGGTTAATAAGCTAATAAACTACTTGTCCGACATTTTTATAGATCGAAATACTATGAAAAATATTTTGCTTTAGAGTATAAAATGTTTTAAATGAGTGTGTTTCTATTCAAAAGATTGACAAACATAAAAATAATAAAAGTATTTATTTTATAAAAACATAAAATTATGTAAAATACATTTTTCAAAAATGTTAGTTTATTCTGAAATAGTGAATGTCTTACGTTAAATGGATCATATTGTTTTGTGTGTATCAAACTTTAGAGACAAATTGTCGAAAAAAATTGCGTGTTAATAATAATAATTTATCCGGACTCAGCTGGCCTCCTGTTTCCAACAACCTCGCCACAATAACGGTCATCCGCTTGTTTGATTAACGAGTGACACGTTATTGGGACGATTGTTTATTTTACAATTTTATTTTTTTCAAAAACATTACGATGGATATAATATTATATATATTATAATATTATAAACGCGTGAAATGTTTATAAATATATATATAATATATTATATGTATGTATAGCATAATATGTATAAGAGAAGAGAAACATCGTCCGCATCTGTTAAGTCGGTTGTCATCCTACTCGTCCTGTGGCTGACGAAGAAAAATAAGATTTCGCGGTGCGTACCGTACTTGGATGGCGGTGAGAGCGGGTGCATGTGGGTACTTGGGGGTCTAAGGAGAGGTCAGGATAAGACAGCGGTGCCGCCATCGCATCCCCGCCATCCTCGGTTTGCTTTCCTCAGTGTCCGAACAGCACCGGATTAGACAACATTATGACCAGGCTGACCAGGGCTAGCACGTGGACGGTCATTTGGCCGCTGACCGCACTTCGGTTGCCGTGCTGCATGGCCGCTGGGTGTTCGCCTGTCAACAGAGAATGGAAAAAAAAAATGATCACACAGTATACGATATAATATGATGTTATTTTAATAATTTTATGGTGGTTATGGGGAAGGGGTGGCGCTTTGTTTTTTGCAAAAATATTATAAAATGAACAAAACACATTTGATTTGATTAACCAATTGATTCCGCGTAAAGTATTTCTTTTAATATTGCTATACAATTGATGACTTATTGCTAGGTTATATAAAATTAATCTAAAAAAAAAAAAAATTCTGGGAAAGGCAGTACGTGTACCAAGCTCAACATCACTTGTTTAAGGCACTGATGTATTTTTTGTTTCATGCGTCGTGCCGACTTCGGTGATTCGGGTCTTCTAAAAGGAATGTAATGTAAGTAATTCAGTAGTTGGTTACTTCTAGTAGGACTGTACAAGTGGATCTAACCTAACATAAACGGTTTTTAATGTCCAGGTTAGACAGTGATTGACATTCACACGATTAAGTATCCGGGGATGATCAATTTAGTTGATTAGTTGTAACTGGTTACAAATTACAATATGATTTTACATTTATAGTTACATAGGTAATAAAAAATACTTTAATAATTTTTGACTGACTACGAGTTAAGCTACAGTTGCAGTGATCTAGCTTAGGTATTTTTAAATTTATAAATTTATTATGATTTTTATTTATTTCTTTAATAAAATAACGACATTTCTAAATATTTGTTTATATGATGGCTAGATGGATTCATATAAGTCATTATTACCAATATCAGTATTGCAATTTATAAAAAAACATTGTTTATAAAATATTGCAAAATGTAATAATTATTATCTATTATTTAGAGAATATTCAGCGCATATTATGATCAAACGATTCTGTTCAAACTTTAGATCCATTGAAAAATAGTATATACCCATACTACTTATATATTTCGTTAAAATTTCATATTTATTAATTATAACTAATATTATTGTATTAATATATTATATCATAAAAAATATCGAAATCTTCTAGTTATTATTATTATTACTCATTTAAATTAAATTTTAAGTATTATATGTATTTCGTATTAAAAGTTACAATGTAAATTGTATGAGTTACTATTTTTAAGTTACTTTTAAACTACAAAATTTATTACAAGTTTTAAATCACAATTATAACTTTGATACATCTTAGTGGTTCTGCCCAACTTGTAAGTGTCTATAATGTTCGTAATATTTCATAATATTATATAGTTTCGAATGCGCTTATTGGACCGTTTTGAAATCTACAACTGGAAATTTCGAAATACGACAAAACCACGAGAATATCAATCGAAAACGTGTTTAATTATTAACTTTAGTGAAATGAATTAACAACATCGACTTTGGGACATCTTACTTACTGAGAAATGAAATAATAAACACTAAATCAATAACACAAAAACAATAATAATAATACACTCTGTAAAACATTAGTTTCTAAAAAGTCCGTTGTTTGTTACAATATAGTAGGCAAAAATTGACGATGTTATTTTTTATTTCATTTTTATGTACAAATTGTTTTTGTTTGTAGAAAAATGGTACTTTTTGTTTTTATATATTTTTATACTTGTTAGTTGTGTAGCGTTTACTTTAAGTGTTTTGGGCTTTATCGAATGGCCTTTAGTGCGGCTATTTCGAGTGTTTTGAAAAAAAAGAAGTTTTTTTTTGCAAACGATGACAGACAAAATAACAACATGTTTATTCGGAATGCTATTTTTTTTAAAAAACAATTTATTTGCGACTCTTGTTTTTTTTATCTCGACAGTAACAATCTTTATTGTCGATTATTTAAAAAAGGGCACAAAACGTTTATCGCTTTTACTAGTCCCGAAAGTCAATGAAACGATAACAATTGTTCGGTTCATTAGTTCAGTGATTTTTTTTAATCCGTTAACTTATACTACGAGTATGATGGTATATTTTGTTCGATGTATAATGTATTTCAATTGAATTTTATGTTTCTAATTTTGTAATTTACCTATAACTTTAGCTGTGTGATTTAATTTTAAACTTACGTGGATAATAATGGTAATTTTATAAAATACATAAACAAAAAATATAAGGATCATATTTTTGCATATTATTAATTAAGTGTTTTCGGGAAAAACGCACTCACTAAAGTAAAGTTTTTAGTTACCTACTATTGAAATATCTAAGAAAGATAAACTCTAAACAAAATAAATTACAATAATTAAACTGAATATTCAAGAACTGTTATTTTTGTACAAATATATCAAATGATAAGATTCAAAAGTTCATAAAAAATTATTTTTTCAAGTTTATTTTACGTTATTTAAAAATATATTTGAAATAGTTCAAAGCAGATACATTATGATTTTTTTTTCTATAGATGACCATGACAAGAGGATTTTTGCATGAAGCATTATTATCCATTATTCTGGAGAATAATAAATGTTGTTGACATTAAAATAAATACATTTTTTTTTTTCAATAAGCATTTGGTAATTTTATATTTTAAATGCTTGTTTTAATACTCTGTTTACCTTAACTTTAAATGGTTTAAAGAAATATATTCAATATTCGATACTGACAGATAAATTTTTTCAGTGTTTTATGTCGTATTTATGTTAAAGTACCCATTTGGTTTATAAAATATAATTATACTGCTTAATTTATAGTTCAACTTCATATTACAGGAGGTTTTTATGATTGTTTAGATTATAGTTTTAAGAGTTAAGAAGTATTTTTATATTAATTTAATAATTCAAATCCTCCGTCCACTGTAGACTTACAAATTGCATTAATAATATTTTTAAATTGTGTTGGTTTATTTAATCAGAATGTAAAATTAAATCGATGGTGTATAATTATGTTCAATTTTTGTCATCTAAATATCGTGATTTTTTTTTTTTTAATTTCAATGCGATTAAGTTGATTAGATGTATATATTCCTGTTGAACACTTTTCACCAAGAAAATTAAATATCGACCGTCGCCAAGGCTCGTTTGAAAACGAAGCCGTAATTTATTTCTCATCGCTATCGGTAATGTGAAATGTCTAATGACTTGAGTGCCTGCGTGTTTTTTCTCCATACATTAATGTACCTAGGTGTTATGTAATTTACTTTTATACGTGTATTTATAGATGATGAACATGACGCGAGTCGTGGAAAAAAATTTGTTCACATTAAAATCCGTATAATAATAAATTGGGGTACCTATAGTTAGGGCGAGGTAACGTCCTATTTCTGCTTAACACTTTAAAAATCGTTCATTATCGTTTCACTGTGTTTTAATATAGGTGATTTTATACATTAACGACGAAATTAATTTAAAACTCTATTACCTATATCCATGGGCGTCCCCAGAAATTTTTCTAGGGGGGGGGAGGTTAAAAAAATAAATGAAGATTTTTTTATACATTTTATTAATTATAGTAGATATTATTATTATACATTTTATTTATAGAAAGTTATTATTTTTCGTCATTATTACATTAAACTATTACAATTAGGTAAAAAATTTAAAATTCTAGTGGGGAGGCAAGTGCTTCGTCTTGCCCCCCACCGGGGGATATCTATGCCTATATCTGGGATGGACAGTATCCAAGATACATTTGTATCTTTTGCAGTTAATTAATTATTATTATAATCTTGTATTTAGATACTTTTTTTTTTCGGAGTGTATTCTAAATACTAGATAAAAATGAAGATAAGGTTTTTTTTTTGAAATAAACAATAAATTAAAAAATTATAACTATTATAAATATTATGAATTTTTATGTGTACAATCTATTACATGTGTGGTGCGGTATGGCACAGTGGTTGGTCTCAGTAACTAATGTATTCTGAGGTCAAGCATCGGTCGACGTCGTTAGTTCTCGGATGGGTGACCATCCGGATTCTTAGTGATGAATCTATGACGCACACACATACACATACGGGTTCCAATTGTACTAACCAAAATTTTACAAGCAAACCTTATACAAAAAAAAAAAAACATACTGTTCCTATCCATAGCTAATGGTCTTATAGTTGCCGGGCTAAAATAAGATCAATAAAAAAAAAAAAAATCTATTGTACAAATCATTTATAAAATTTTAAAACGAACTCATATCGTTGAATGTAGAATGTAGATGATGTATGGTACTGTCAGTATAATAAATTCATTTAACCAAATAGATATATAACTATTTTCGTTGGAACTTCTGACAAATGTTCGTCACTTGTCTAGCTCTATATGATGTAGACTAGTACTTTGAAGACCATAGTATTGATAATAATGGTAAACTATATTATAGCTTTGTTATATGGTCCATTTATAAGTAAGCAATAAACTGATCAGTTATTTTAGACTTTAATATGATCTAGATGGAAAATACTTTAAAATTGTTGAGATCTTAAATTGTGAAAAAAGTAATTTAAAAGCTATTTGTATGACGTGTAAGAATGACAAATCGTTAATTGAAGCTATTAAGTCTACTTCAAATGTCCGTCTCTATGTGCAGGTAATTAATTTTAATTTTAAATTTTCCTTTTAATTATAATTATACAATTATATTGTTTATTATTTTTTTTTCATCAATATTTCAAAGAGTTAATAAAAACATTTTTAATGAATTTGAAGTATATATTAACAAAACATAAATTACAAATAAACCATCAACGTCGGGTGCTAAGCAAACAAAAATCTGTTTTTCAATATAAAACAGATAAAAATAAATAAAAACAATTTGAATTCAATCTTTTAAATTAATGTATTTTTTATCTTAGATAATATATTATTTTATATTTAGTGTCTTTAGAAAAATGTTGAATGTATATTGTATCTAGAAGTAAAAATCTATGTATCTAGTATCTTATATCTAAATTTTTTTTTCAAGTATCTTGCTCATCCCTAATTGTAAAATATAGCTCGTCAGCGGTTGCTCCGTTTGCGATTTTAGTAATTTTCAAGAGTAATTATATAAAATAATTTTTATACTAGTCTAATATACGTACTAATACTACTAATCTACTCATATATCTGTATAA